ACTTTTTCTAATTTATCAGCTGTTTTATTTAAGATAGGGCTCCCTGGTCCCATTTCTGGTGCTGACTGTTTAGTAGTTACACCAGGAGTTACTGGTGGATGTTTTCTTAATGGAAGGTAATGACTGGGAAAAAATTTGGGATTTCACTGGGATGCTTTGGAATTCAAGGACCATTGAAACCATGATGATAAGGCATGTTTCTGACCCCCAGTGGAAGATATATGTAGTGTGCTGGAAGGGAAGGGGGAAAAAAAGGAGTAAATTGAGTTTGGAATTAAATACAGGCATTTGGTGGGTGAAGGAATCTCTTTTCGGGAAATCTAAGGTGTCTTGTGAAAACCACAGCTACGGTTTTCCCAGTTGCAATGGATGGCTGTGAAGGTTGGACCATAAGGAAGGCTGAGCACCAAAGAATGGAGGCCTTTGAACTCTGGTGCTGGAGAAGAAGACTCCTGCACTGAGTCCCTTGGACTGCAAGGCCATCCAACCGGTTAGTCCTAGAGGAGATCAACCCTGACTGCTCTTCAGAAGGCCAGATCCTGAAGAGGAAACTCAAATCCTTTGGCCACCTCATGAGAAGGAAGAAGGACTCCCTGGAGAAGAGCCTCATGCTGGGAAAGATGGAGGGCAAAGGAAGAAGGGGATGATAGAGAAAGAGGTGGCTGGATGGAGTCACCGAAGTAGTTGGCGTGAGCTTAAATGGACTCCAGAGGATGGTAGAGGACAGGGAATCCTGGAGGAATGTTGTCCTTGGGGTCGTGATGGGCCAGACACCACTTTGCAACCAACAACAACAAAGCACTTACCAAAATCTCTTTGACGGCAAAATATTCCAGGCCTCCATCCCGCGGAGAGTCCAAAACCACCGGGAACTGCTTGTGGGGTGCCTGAATGTAGCCAAATTCAATCTCGTCCTGCAAGAGAAGGAGAATCAGGACTACGGAGGTTGCAAGATTCTCTACAGCTGAAGCACATGGGATCTGAAGGGAAGAAGCAAGGTGTGGGGAGATCAAAGGCCCAGCGAGGGGATTTCGGGAGTCGAAGTCCACATTCTTAAGCGTGCCAAGTTTGAGAAACAAGGCTGCCTTTGGGAAGAACAACCGAGAAGATCATTACGGAGAGAATCTATTTTATGTGGTCGCTAAGAGTTGATGCCAAGTGGATGGCGTATCGTCAACGTTTATCAATCTATAGAGAATTTTAAGGAGACATGCAGTGCAGGGGTGGGATTGAAACATTTTCGCCGCCCAGTTGCTGGGTGGGTGTGACCTACTCAGCCTCCTGCACTACAGCAGAGGGGTGGGATTTTTACCCTTCCCAGGCTCTGGACGCTTTCCTTGAGCCTCAGGGAGGGCGAAAACGGCCTCATCTGGGTTCCTCCCAGAGCCTCCACGCAGGCCCTGCATTTACCTGGCATGATGAATGGGACACAAGGAGACTCCTGGGAGGGGAAGGGTGGGCATGGCCAGCCAGTCCTTCCAACTATCAGTTCGGCAAACCAAATGCAAAATTAGCATCCTGTTTGCTCGAACCGGTATGAACCGGCTGAATCCCATCCCTGATGCAGCGCACATTCACACCTGTGTGCAAGAAGTGCATCTGGCCACAGCCACTGGTGCTAACCTGCATCCATCGGTCGCCACGGTTCATGTACCGAGAGCAAACACTAATCTTGCATCCGGCTTTGCTCACCAAACTGTTAATTTCCTTCAGGAAGAGATAGTTGTCCTTGACACTGTGTGGAGGAAAGGAGAAGAAAGTGAGGTGTTGTTGGAGTCCTGGTCTGCGCATCCTTCCCTTGAAGAGAGCGTCATGTGGTACCCATGGCCCATGTGTAGGCCCACTCCGTCCTCCAAGAAAAAGAGCTGGAGATACAGCGTGAATTCTTATAACAATACCTTCCTTATCTTATGTTTCTAATAAACATATGAAACTACTCTGTATCTCTGGCTCTTTTTCTTAGAGGACTGAATGGGTCCAAGTTAAAGAAAGAAAGAAAGAAAGAAAGAAAGGAAGGAAGGAAGGAAGGAAGGAAGGAAGGAAGGAAGGAAGGAAGGAAGGAA